TATATATATATATATATATATATATATTGTATCAATAATGACATTTTTTGATGACAATATATAACATTTCTTGTAGTGTTAAATAATATGAACATGAGACGGTATAAAAGGTTTACATATTGTCAATTAATCATATAAATCATATTATATAATAAGTTAGTTAACTTTTATTATAATTTTATTGAAGTTTTAAAGGCATATAGAAATGAAATTTAGTGAAAAGATATAAAAAAATTGATTAAAGCGAAATATGGGTGAAAAAATATGTTCTTTAATCAGATTAATAGAATTAGAAAAGGAATAATAATATCATTTATTTTCAGTTGTTTGATTATATAGAAAAGTGAAAGAAAAGAAAGTTAACATCTTTTTTATCAAGTAAATGTAAGAACATGACACATACAAAATTATTTTATTTTTAAAATATCTTTGCTATAGCAAGTTGTTAATGTTACTTTTATAAAGATCAAACCTAAATTTTCATACATTTATATCTCAACTTTTAACCATTAGATTGACTCTAGTAATTTATTATTAGATTTATGTGAAATATACTCTTGTAAGTACAACATGAAATAGTAAATATTTTTCTAAATGACTTGTTTCAATATTTTTTTTTCATAAATACTTATAAAAAAAATTAAATAAATTTATCTATAAACTAAAATCAACTTATATAAGTTAATTTATAAAAACTCTATTGTGCTAATTTATTAAAAAAAATAATTTATACATAAACTAATTTTAATTTAAGACATTTTAGTTACTATGATATGATTCTTTATATATGATCTGATGTTTAATTATGTGACATGTGAATTACTGAGGATGAACTAATTAAAAAGAAAATGTAAAATTTAAATTCAACAAAATAAAATAAAATTGATTTAACTATATAAGAACCATATATTTTATGAAAAAAGTTATCACTTAACTGTCTTCATTTGTGACCCAATCCCATGGTGAAAGTGAGGAAATGGAAGCAGGGATATAGAAAGAACCGAAGAAGTTCCACAAAATATTGGCATTTGAAATATTCTTTGTATGTTATGCATGTAACCAAAGCAACTCTCCAGCTAGAAAAAAACTTGTGGATAGTCCAAGAGCTTCCCAACACTTGATTGTGCCTATTCAACTACTTTCCCCCTTTCTTGCACCAAGTCCAAGCTACTCTACAGAAACTTCTTCTTTGGAGGCAGTGTATCTTGAGTGTCGCAAAGAAAATAAAGTTTTGTCATTATATTTTACATAAAATCTAAAAGAATACCAACAGATATAGATATATCAAGGGTTCACGTCATACAATATATAAATTTCGATGATTTGATAAAAATTACAACAATTTGCTTTATTGATTTTTTTTCTTTCTGGTGGGGTAGCAGAACCCCACTTGTTATGACTTCGAGCCACTCGTATGTGTAATGTGTCAATATAGTATTTACAAATTCAAATAGCCAGCCGGCTGAATAATAGTATGCTGCTAAGATGGTAACATGTGAGTGGTCATATATAATTTTGCCTTTTGCGGGTGAAATTTTTATTTTAATTTTATATACACATTGAGATAATATTTCAACTTTTTGTTGATTAAATATTATTTTAACAATGATTATCAATCCGTGTCCAATGAGAGTCCTTAGTGAAGCCTAAACGATTAGGTCTACTTCATTCTAAGATAGGGACTAGTATGTTATTATGTTAATATAGTGCAACCATCCAATTTGGAACATTATGGGAGTCCCTTGACAAGTATAGTGTGAGTAGGTGAATAAGGATCCTCTAAGTTGGGCATAGAATGGTTTAGTGGGCCTTTAGTGGGCCTAGCAAGGATTTAGGCTTGACCACCCACTCTTTATTAGATTGTACTGGGTTTAGCCCTGTTGATGTAGATCTAGAACAATACTAACTTTGGATTTATTTAAATAAAAAAAATTCAGAAATACTTTTTAAAAAATTCTAAAAATTAAAATTAATTCATGCACAAATTAATTTCTAACAGCTCTTGTGTTAATTTTTTTAAAAATATTTGTTTAACTTACATAAAAAAACCTTATTTTAATTTTTCTTCTCCTAAAAGTGTTTATGAGAAAGTTTATTTAAACAAATCCGATGAAAATTAAACCCCCTTTTCAAATTTTAGATAACAATTACATAAGGTAAGTTCGAATGAATGAATCCTCGCTTAGGAAGTACTAGTTATCATAGTTTGCCACATAAAATAGGGGGAACTTCCTCTCGTACTAAACCTATTTTTTTGGGGGCAAAAATCGTAGATGTTTTGCTCATAACAAATTCAAAAAACTTGTTTATGGCTAAATCAATTATTCCTTTCATTTTATTTTATTATCATACTGTGTTTTATCCTGTCAAATTCACACAGACACACACACCTAATGCAACCAATAATTTTCCTTTTTTGAAAATTCTCCCCTTGTGTTTCTTCATTTAGTTTTTGTTAGCTCGCTAGCCAACAAAATAATTTGAGTAAGTCCTCAGGCAAGAAACGTATAACATATAAGAACAATAGGTCAACATCTGCCAACAATATCACTTGTACAATAAATAAACAAAATTGAATTCAAAGTATAGAACACATATGACCCTCAACTAAGCTGACTAACAAATAAAATCTACTTAAAAAGTAATTCAAAAGATTTTCTGTGCAAAAGAATGCTAGACTATAGTTTCTACTGAATAGGGGGGAAGAAATAACAAAACAATAAAAGAAGAAAACCAATCAGTAGTTAAGCAAAGAGTACTTTATCCTCAGTACAATTTTCCCTTTTTCCACTCCAAGCTTAGCCCCTGTGACTAACCAATGGCCAGGAATATCTTGAGGACCTTTAGACATTTCTGTCATGTCCACAATTTTTGCCAGTTTCCCAATGTGGCTTGAACTATCCTCCTTTTTGTCATCAGAGGCTTTCTTTGTCGATGATGATGATGATGATGAGCCAGGAGTGGAAGGGTTATGATCCCATACAGACCGCCTTATCGTGCACCCTGGTACTTTGGAGAAAAGAAGTTTGAGGTGTAACACATTTTTGGCACCAAAGTCCCACACACCAAGCTGAGCCCCAGTGACAATGTGGACACCAGAGAGGTCACCAATACTAGTTTCAGTGTACTCAATTGGTGCAGTGCTTACATGGGAGAAGTTCTTCCATTTGATTGGCTCAAACCAACGGCTGTCTTGCTCCTCGGGACCCTGCCACTTAGGAGCGCCTATCGCCACGTGTGCATCCCAGTGAGGTACGAGGTTTTTCGGGAGGGAGACTAAATGCTGCAAATGAATTGCAAGCCGGTTCTGTTTGTTGCCTTCTAGACCAAGTTTTAGCCCAGTCACAGGCTTGCGTCCAACTGTTACCTGAAAAATCAAGTCACATGGTTGTTACTTGGCTAATGGCTGGGGAATAAATACCAAACATGCATGCAGACTTGTAATGTTAACTCCATCATATGTTGATATGTTGATTTATGAATAAACCATCAATTTGATCCTCGAGTGTTACTCTTTCCCCTAAACAGTCCTTAAAGTAATGAAGTTATATAAGTGGTCTTAATTCCTAAAGTATTGAAAATCCACCCATTTAATCCCTGCGCTGATATATTTTACTGATGTTGAGGGTTTAATTTGAAATATTTTCTCATACCTGAAGGACTATGCAGCATGATTTCTAATAGACTAATACTGTAGGGACTACATATATAATTTCATTACTTTATAGGACTACTTAGGAGAGAGGGATATACTTCAGAGATTAAATTGATGGTTTATTCATTGTTTTATTTTACCTTGTTTATGGATCAGTGTTTATCCATTGTTTAGAATTGTTTATTGAATTATTAAATAATATTATTATGAAAAACTATTATGTTAACATCAAATGTAGCAAATGACCAACATTATTGGCTGAGCTATTCATATAATGCCAATTAAAAGGACCCTACTCTAATCTTCTCTAGTCACCCAATTAGAATGAAACTTGTTTGGTGATCAGAAATATAGTCGTTTATCCTCAAGAAAAAGAGTAATTCACTCTCAAGATCAAACGGAAAGATGGATCAGCCTTGGAGCCAGGTACACAGTTTCAACACCTAATTTTCAATATATGTCTCCAGTTTTAAGTATCCACACGTAAAAATTAATCCAGGTGATTTACTAATTTTACATCAAGACATGATATATTCTTCAAAACTGACGAGCCCTAGTATGACACACATAAAAGAGATGCTACAACTTAGAGATGTAAAATCTCATTTTTTGGCACAAGCTAACTTCTGTCATGTCATTTGATTTAAGGATTTTTATAATATTTTTTTTTTCTTCACAATTCTAACACGTGATAATTGTAAAATCATGAAGTCAATTTCACTAGTTTTATAATTAACTCGCATCACATTAAGAATCAATGCTGAACACTACCCAGAAGATCATAAATAAGGCCATTAACAAACAAAAAACTTACGTGTAAAACTCTCGCACATTAAAATGGGAACCAGGCAAATTCAAATTCTCAATTTATTGGTTTGCTTGTTCAATTTAATGTCAATATGTCATCAATAATATATGTAGACCACAAGAGAATATGAACCATTGTTAAGTCTCAATTTTACATCTTTTTGGATGAGACTTATTAAACAAATTCCGGTCATCCTCTGAACCATTGCAATATAATTGTTCTCTTTTTGGTTCATTTTGTGTGCAGATATAACTAACCCAAATTTAGCTAACAATACCTTAATACATCTCATTTTTTGTGCAGGTATTGAGCTAGAGACTTGAGGGTTGAAGACTCTTAGGATTGGAAATCTAAGAAGCTAAGGAGCAGAGAAGAGGTTCTGCGCCGGGCGCAAGGTGATCCGCGCCAGGCGAGCAAAACAGAGTATCTCACCTCTGGGAGCCATTGCGCCGGGCGTAATGTGAATTGCGCCGGGCTTGTCCTAAGGCAGAGAGTATCTGGAAGGCCCCGCGCCGGGCGCGAAGACTTATGCGCCGGGCGCGAAACCCTAATCTGACTCCCCAAGCTCGTATTTGAAGCCATTTTCGGGGGAGAAACCCCCATTCACACATTGGGCGCGTTTTGGGAGCTGTGGAAGGGATTCCCGGAGCTTGGAGCCGTTCGTGTGTGGGTCTTTCCTTCGGTTCTTCATTTCTCCCTTCATCTCTATTTTGTATTTACCCTCTTTGTTGAGTGGTTTCACCCATTTTTGTGGGGTTAGATGTAACCAACGAATTCTATTGTAATCCTTACGGTTTTTATGATATATATACATGTTGTTTCATTCATTGTTGTTTATGTTTCTATTCTTAATGCTTGCTTTGGATTTAATCTCATTGCATGATATAGGTTCCATTGGGTATTGGAAAATAACCCTTGAAACTAGCTCTGAAACAAATGCCTAGTGGGAAATGTATCTAGGAATGGAGCTTAGCCCATTAGTAGTCTTAAACCCTAGCCCGTAATGCGGATGTAGATATTGGGTACTCAAGGGATTGATATTCAATATCCACATCTAGGCTCTTGCTCTAAGGGATTAGGTTTGAGTAAACTATTGGGTTGACTAAGCAATGAATTTAACAAGAGATTAAGGATTCATTAGTTTGACGTTTGGTGAAATCTGACCCCACAATCTCACAAAACCATAAAATCATTTCTACCCTTTCCACTCACAAACCAATATTTATTTACAGCTTTCATTCCAATAGTCTTAACTTTGAATTCACATGACAAATTATGAAATTGGAATTATTTTTTAGTCACGAATAGTCAATAAATGCTTATTTTACCTTCTAATCCCTGTGGATACGATATTTTTACTACTTGAACGGCCGGTATACTTGCCGTGTTTGAGACCGTTGATAGAATTAAACTAAATTTCAATTATAACAAAAGTACTTCAACGGAAATCTCAACAACCATCCTGATAGATAGTTTCAATTCACTCAAATAGGAATAGAAACACAGTTTTAATACTTTTATGAATATTTTCTATAAGGAATTTGTGAATACTGGCACATTTAAGCAAATAGCTTATGTAAGTAATTATTCAAAAAGAACTTGTCATATGAGGGCTTATTCATAAGCTTAGACTGTGAAACTTACTGAAACAAGATTGCAAAAAACAAGAAAAGCCTTTTGTTTTTGTGCCCAAGGTATCCTCCGGCTTAGAGCTCCAGCTAAAGCCAAATACTAATCTTTCAATGTACAGAGATCCATTTAAATAGTTTATGGGAGGGTCATAACTCATACGATGCTTTCATATGCCTAAGTAAATTATATAGAAGCCGCCCTCTAATTCTATTTGACAAATTTCGCTATGTGTAATCAAGCTTTAGTTAACATTACCTGATCTGAACTAACAAAAAGTTTTGGTCCCATCAAGCTGAACTGGAGGGAAGGACAGACAGGCTCCTTTCTTTGTAGATTGGTCTGCTCAGGTGCCCACACTCGAGCTATTTGAAAATCCAAGAAATACTGTAGATCTTCAATGGGAGGTTTGTCTGGCGGATATAGAAGACAAGTGAATTATCTACATTATGTAAAACAACAGAAACATATATCTATATTTCTTCAGTATTATTTATCAAACTAGTCTTGAAATCATTATGTAAAATGTGAATGTCCATAAATTTCAAGTAAATCTATAAATAGGCTTCTGGCTTACTGAATTGAAAACAATTACTCCCAAATTTTAACATCGTAGGTAAACCCCACATATATGCAGTTATGCACTCATAAAAGTAAGCAAGTGTAAGAAAATAACAAGAAATTTTCAAATTTCCACAAACTTGCTGAGGGCTACAGCATATATACAGGCAGGAGGAAAATCATCAAATGTCATCTTTGTGACCGCTATATCCATCATCTTAATATCATTCACTCTCCATCAAGATCTGGTGCTGATTTAATTAAATTGTAAAAAGGATTTGAATAACTTTAACCAATATCAATCAATTAGGTGGCAAACAATCAAGTGGCTGCATATCTAATGGAGAACTCATCAAATTATCCACAAGTTGTGTCTTCTTTAAATTTATTTATTATTTTTTACTTTTCTCTTTTGATTACGTTTAAAAGAAGACATGAGTAGACATTCCAATGAACAAAGTATTGAATAGAAGGTAACTGATTAAAAGTAGCAGAGGATGAATTAAGAAAACATTAGGAGAAACCAATAAACTATTAACAATACCTTTATTTGTTTGAAAAAACCATTAACAATACCTTGTTCACTGAAAACTTGGATTATGATGCCCAAAAGCATTAATTGATTATTGTAGCTCACTTGCATACCCACTTGGTGAGATAAGGCTTGGTTGTTGTTTTTTGGAAAGTTTTGAAGAATATTATTTCAATTAGCTTAGACAATAAACATTTACTGGGAAAAAAGTAATTAATGATTAAGGCACTAAAGTAAACTAGACAAACTAACATGCCCCTTCATGGTGGAGTCCTTTCATCATGAAGCAAATGCTCAAGCCCATTTTACCTTGGATACAAATGTTGTATCCTTTATATTTTAGGAATAGTCGTAAATATCAGATACTAGTGGATCCGTATCATATCTTGAATCATAGGACCATAGACGCTGTGGTGCCCTATGAAAGACCAACTCTTTTCAAAGCTTAAGCTACTAAGTGGACGCCCAACAATGGTTTTATATCTCAATTCTCAAGCAGCATTTTACCTATGTTTTGACAGATTATGAATTTAAGTGCTTCTAGGGGTCACTGAGTGCATTACCTCAGAATACTTATCATAACCAATAAATAAAGTTAACTCCACAATCTTAATAATTGGATTAGAACTTACATTTGAGATATAAATCAATGGCACGATCCAAATGCTTAACACCAGGTACTCCTTGAAGAAGAGAAACCACGGGTGTGAATGTCATGTTAATGATATCTGGTGCGAGTTTTACGGTCTCCACCCATTTAGAGTGATTTTGCTCAAGATCATTCCCACCTCTCCTCCTAAAAATGACAGTGACATCCTGCGGCAAGAAAATGAAACTCACATCATCGGATTCCTGTACTTTATGTATGGAATCAGTGACTACATAGTTGTCAATGAGATAGAGAGTGCAATAGGAAGCAAAAATCAAATGATGCAACAAGGGCTATCCCAGAACCTATTTTGAATAAAGAAGGGCAAGTTTAATACATAATTACAGGTAGAAAAATGTCATGTGTTCAGTGAGTAATCATAGGGAAAAGGCATTTCTTATACAAACCTTCTCCTTGTATTTTAAAGGACCGGGACCAGATACATTTTGGCCATCATGAAACCTATCATCTCCAATGTCCTTTATGTAATTCTCAATGTCTGAGGGCGACAAACTAGATGATTGGTGCTGCCTGACATATATGACATCTCTCCCACCAATTGTTGCTGATGTAACAATATGTGTACCATAATTTTCAATAAAACTAAGAAGAAAGGAAAGAAATTATGTATTAGTACTTGACCCTGTACATCAAATCTAACAGATATAGTATATAAGGCATATAAGTCTTTTGTATAATCAAGGCAAGTCCGATTACAACAATGGCTTGTACAATCTTTATTGATTTTGTACCTAAACTAGGAAAAACTTCTGTGTCTAAAACATAAAATATTGGGTCTCAAAGATAAATACATGTAACAGGTGAAATTGTATTGTCCAATGGAAAGTATATGACTTATTCTTGATACCCTGTGAAGGTATATTTGAAGTTGGCTTTTTTCAATTTACATATCGGTGTAACATCCAGCATTCAGAAAAGTAACTAGTAATTTAAAATCATATATAATAAGACAAGTATATAGCACATCAAACTTTTGTTTCACAAGCCTTCCATATGAGTAAAAGAGCACATCTATAAGAATACATATATCTATGATTTCCCCAACAAGAAAGAAAGTTAGTAAAACTACATAATCACAACTTGAGCAATGCATTAGTAATCATTTCCAAATCAAGTTTTAGAATTTACAATTTACAATTACTGAAGTAAGTTGAAATGAAAATCAAATCAAAACTGAGCCAAAAAATCCAGGACTGGACAGAGTTAACACAAGATAGCAGCATTATTGTGCACTATTGATAACTTTCAAAAAAATGTTTTTCTTCTCTATAGTGCAAGAATCAAAACCTGGCATAAGTGTATACTTGGTAGTATGTGTTTATATGAATAAAATCTACTTAAAGTGTATTTGGATACAAGCTTAAAAGAGCTTTGGAGAGCTTCTCCATTAAAAAAAAAAAAAAAAAACTCTTATTTTCAGTAGAAAAGTTCTCAAAAACTCTTCTAAGCTTGTATCCAAACAAATTATTAAACATACAAAATTCTCGGTATTCAAAAATTCAAACCAAAAACATTTTCTACAATAAGTTGAAAACAGAATAAATATTATTTGCAGCTACAATGAAACATGTTTACCTAGCCAAGGATGCTGGATCCCAATAGTGAGGAACAGAATGCTTAATTTCTTCCTTCAAGACTAAATTCAGATTGGTGAGTTTAACTTCAAACAGAGGAATGAAATGCCCAACCATCGCAAGGGATTTTGTGGCTGCTGAATCAACTGTGCAGGATCCAGTAAAATTGAACATAGAATTGAAGCTTCCAAGTGGAATCTGTTCTGCTAGGCCTGACTTCTCATTGAAACATTTTGCCATCTGGAAAGCCAATCATCAAATATGGTAAAGAAACAAAAGATGGAGAGACTTTGTTGATACAAGGCTCAAACATTACAATGCATGCGAGTATAATAGAATCTATGTGAACAATATATGGGTTCTCAAACCAACTAGACTGCTCAGATTATCCATCTATCTTATCTCACGAGACCTTTAACAAGTTGCAAAACAAAAAGATAATTGAAAAGCAGGAATTCCTAATGTCCAAAAGGAATTAACAAATAACAAACTATATTTTATTCAGTGACGTAAGTGACCCATCATTTTGAGAAAAGCTAAAGCTGTAATACTACTTAAGCTGTCTTGAAATAGTTTCTACAAGTAGAGTACAAATCCCAATTCCCAACTTATCAGCTACTTTACAACTCCCATATTTTTAAAGAATTTGCTACATCACTCTTCAGCATATTGGGTATTTAAAAATGAATCCAATTTTTTTCCTCTACCGAGAATATATCCTTTGAATAGTTTCTAAAAGTATCTCTACAGCTTCTAGGGCTGAGATGCTTGTTTCAAAAAATAGTGTCACTACAAGGAACAACATAGTAGTAACATGCACAGGTTGTATGATAAAATGTGCCTTGCTGCCTGCTGGAGATAAGCAAACAGACTTTACTATTTAAGAGAAGTGTTAGCAACACACTCACAAACACACAATTTAATGTTAGTTAAAATTTATTGAAAATAATCAAATCAAAACAGAAATTCATTAAATGGGAAATGGAACCACCAAAATTTGTAATTTTCTTACAAATTTCAGTTAATAATTGAGAGTGTATTCAAAAGAGTGTGTTGCTAACATTTCTCATCCATTTAAAGTGCACATTAGCCAAATCCTCACACAACACTTCCAAAAAGTTATGCTTGATCATAAACCAATCCCAGACATCATTTAATACAATCAGTCTACATAACCACTGACCCATCATTTCCAAAAAGAAAATACCACGCGGAAGAGGACATAAAATAGTTCATTTTTAAACCACACAGTTCCTATGTCAGGAAACTAGTAACACATTAGCAGCACCATCATTCCCATTTTCGCAACCAAATTTACTTTCTCAAAATCAAACATGGTATACAAAGCAAAAGGAAATCCCTGCATGACAAAAACTGCAAATTTGTCACACCCCAGATTCCTTTTCTTCCCAATCTCAAAATACATTCCATTACACACGACAATCAGGTCAGAAAACAAAAATCCAGCAAGAAAAGGGGTAAAAAGAAATCACCTCAGGGAAGCTGCATACAGGGATCTTCTCCATGGAACTCTTCCCTGGGAAGCAACGAATGTCAGAAGAGACATTTGGAAGAACAATACCATGAGGGAGAACAAGATCGGTGACACGGTCCTCATCAAGGTGAACAAGCCTAGAGCCAGGTGCCCCTTTGCAATATAGAAGCCGAAAATCAGAGGTGACATCAAAGCCACGCCCCAGAGCTTGGATTGAGTTGCAAAGGGTGGAAGTGAGAGAATCTGAGGATGTTGGTGTTGGGTTTTCCATTGTGGTGTGTGAGATGAACAGAACAGCAGAAGAAACAGGAAATGGTTTGATTGGTTGCACTTTTGTTTTGGTGTCTCCAACAGCATCCAAACTGAAGCTCTCTTCCTTTGTTTGTAAGATTGTTTGGTTTTCTTTTGCTTTTCCTGTTGTTCTAAAGAGACGTGCGTTTGACTTTAATAACAATCATGTCTCAAAACGCGTCTTTTTTATTGTAATCTGTTCGGAGTTGACTGGAAAATTCTTCACTTTTGAACTTTGGTTTGGCCCATCAAGTACTAGTATTAATAAGGTGAGATGTGTTGTGATTTATAAAAAGTTGGATTATTTTTAAGTGGAATTACCATTTTAGTCTTTTGATTTTATTCCATGTTTTCATTTGACTTTTTTTATCATTCCATGTTCTTTTTAACTTGGATTTTTATATCATATTTATCTTTCTATTAACTTTCATTTAAGAGTGGAAATCAGTTGCGTGAGTTGCCCAGAGTTCATAAGCTGACTTTTTTAGGTTTCATTTTACTTAGTCTATTTAATAGAAAGGTTGAATTTGGGATTTTAAAAAGTTCTTTTAGTTAAATATATTCTTTTTAAGAATATTATTGGCATGAATTGAATTTACCAATGCTAAATTTTAATATAAATTTTTTTTACTACTTTTAATAAAGTCTTTTCTCTTCCAATCACATTATTTTTATATATAAAATTTGAATTCAAAACTTTATTTAAAGATCCAGAATTTAATACCACTCAAATTAATATATATTAAGTTTTAAGCTTTTATTTAAGTCTCTCTTAAATTTGTTGTCCAACAACTGAATTATTATAATATTTAAAATTAAATTTTAAAATAAGTTTTTGAGACAACTCAAATTTTCAAATAAATTTTGAGATTCATAATCATACTTAAGATAAGTTTAGATTTTATAAATTTTGACTTGATGTCTTATTATTGTCCATATGTTTTTTATCCATCAGAATCACATTGACAATATCAAAATTTAAATTTATAATTTAATATGTATTATCTTGATCTCTCATTATTAGGTCAATCCTAGTAATCTATAAAGATGTTAAATTGCTCATAAACTAATCAAAATTAAATAGAAAGGAAAAAAATAGAATAGAAGCATTTTTTAACCATACATAATATGGTGCATTTAAAGGAGATGATGAAGTTTTCATATGGTTAGCAATGAAAAGGATGAGATGTTATAAATGGCTCTATGTGAGCATTTAAGATAACAATTGGTTATAGTTGATGATAATAAGGTATAAGATAAAAGTGAGATTTCTTGATTATTTGTTACTAAAATAAAGCTTTAATGACTTTGATTATGTTTTTATGGTGATTTTGGTGCTTTTGATTTTAGTCAATCATTTTGACAAGTTAGGATAGAATTTAGCTCTATCTCAACTCCATACTTTTATTACGATGAACAGGTTAGTGCTTGAATTGAGGTTTGTCATTAATTTCATGGTTGATGAAGGGTTTTCCATGGAAAGTGAAAAACAACCACTTCATTGAAGTCCCTTTATGTTTTTTGCTTTGATCTTTATATAATGTGTAATGGTAAAAGAGAGATATTAGGGTAAAGTGTGCATGTGAATATGTGATGAAATTTGTTGAATAATGTCGAGTGTGTTTCATTAAAGATGAGAAGGAAATAAATTAAGGAACAATATTTTAAAACTTGGATTGGAATAATCGACCTGACTGGTTTAACCAAGAATCAAATATGTGACTAATCAAGCCAGACATGCATTAATTTGTGACGATGTCATTGGTTTTCCCTTGAAACAATGAAAATAGGTGACATAGTCCATGTAGTCATGCTTTTCAAGCAATATGAAAAGGTTTTGCATAGTGTTTAAAGCATTGTTGCCAATGCACATTTGATCTTACTTACCTAACACAAGTGTTGGAATTTTCTAGCAAGCATACTAAGTTTGTTGTAATATAATTTTGAAATGCAGGTTGTCGTATGCATAGGGATTTGAAATATATTTTATAATTTTTAATATCCTAATTAAATCCTGTAAAATAAAGATTTACAGTTAAATATAAATATATTGTTTTCCATTTCAACATTGAGTTAGTAAATAAACTAATAATAAAAAGGAAGTGCAAATTTGAAAAGAATACAGTGAGAAAAATTATTGAGATTGAATTTCACTTAACTCCTATACACTCCTAAGATTATTTACATATGATTTTTATCAGTTAGTATTATTGAATTTTTAAAGTCATTTTAAATTAATTCTTTGTCTTTAGAATTTTTAAGGATTTTAATTTAATAATCAATTCCTCAGTTTATCAAATTAGAGTCCTTGCATTAAACTTAAGAATTTGTTCAAATAATGACTTTAAATCTATTCCTAACCTTTAGAATCATTAGGTGGTTTGTTTCAAATTGGATTTAGAAAATATTTTTTAAAGTCTAAATCACAAATCAAAAGGTGAGTGATCAATTCACATCAAGTATTAAAAATAAAATCAAATCACTAACACTGAATAATAGAGTATCATATATATAAATTAAAAGAATTACATAAGAGTGTGATTATTACATTCAATCCCAACAAAAGAGAAGATTGGCAACTCAAGGTGGTGAGAGCAATCTCCATATACAAAGAAATTATAGAAGGAAGAGATGAACCCAAGATCCTTGTCCCTAGATGTTTCTTGAAGCTTTTTTTTTCAGCTCTATTTCTCTCTGTGTTTTGTTCTATTATTTTTTTCTTTTATCATTCTTTGTCCTTTATAAATGTCCAAGAAATTAAAAAAAGAGTATGTTGTACATAACAAATTCGCTTAGCCCTTTTCAAACAATTAAGCAGATTTTTGAATTCTTCAAGATAAAGAAAGTTCCATCTATTGAGCCAAATATGATTCAGTGAGCCCTTTCTGAATCAAAATTTTCTTGTTTCTTTGGACCAAATATGTTCAGCCACTTACAAATAATTGAAAATTTTTCTTGCAACAGATCATTACTTTCCATCTCTAATCCACTAAACGCATGCAGATCAACTGAGCAAATTTGAAAAATTTTGAGATCTTGAGATTTGATCAAATCTGCATAAAAGATAAGGGTTCATAAGTCAAAAATCTATCAACTCTTCACAAGCTAACCTATTTGCACATCCTTTTGATTCTTTGAATATTTTAGGAGTTAAACATATTTTTCTTTTAAATCTAGTTAAATAAGTGTTAAAAAAATTACTTTTTCTAAGTAAAATGGACACTTATCACCATGCTTATTTGCATTGTACATTAATATTGTTGCATTTGATCTTACTAGCTCAACACATATGATTTAACTACGAATTAGACCTATGACCAATCCAACCAGACATGTCATTAGCTTATGATGACATCATTACTTGCTTTTAAACAAGTAAAAATCAACAACTCAACCCATTTAGGGATGACAAAATGAGTCAATTTGTCATTGGCTCGTCAAAAATGGGTTGGATTAAACTAATCCTCTAGAAGACTATAGGCCACAAACCCTGGTCCACCCGCCTAAGGGCGGGTTGGCAGGCCAGTTTGCCAAAAAAAAATTAAAAAATGAAAAAATGAAAAAGGAAAAAAATGTATATTTATTTTGAGTTACTCTTTCAACATATTTTTTTAATATCTAAAGAATTTACATAAATTAGTGTATCTAAATAATAATAATAAAATCTCAAATTATATATAATAAAATAAATCAAATGCACAACAAATTTGTTGTACAATAAATCATATATTATACACAAAATAAATCTGAAGTGACTTAATTGAAATTACATTAAAAATAGTAAATAAAAAAAAATTAAAAAAAAAGTGGGTTAGTGGATAAGTCGGCCCTCGACTCACCATTTGGCCCGACAGGCTAGCAAACTAAGCAAGATGAGTCAAGCAAGGTAACAGACTAGAATACCTAACCCAATCCACCAATATTTTTACGGGCCAACAAATCAACTCACAAACTGTAACCTATTTTGTCACTTATAATTAGGGAAAGTGTGGGGAGGTTATTGAGATAAAAATAATAATAATCATATAATTTTAAATAATGCTAATGATAATAAATAATGAATATAATTTTTATTTATTATATTTAAAATAAAAGGAGTGATTATGTTATATATATATATATAATAAAGTAAAAAAAATAAAAAAATATAATAATAAAAAACAATTTTCATTTATATTTTAAAATAAATTTATTTATGAATATTATAGTTTTTTTTTAAAAATAATATGACTATAATAAAAATATTTATTATGTTTAAATAAATTTTTTATAATACTATATTTGTTTATTTTTAAATAAAATATCAAAAATAATTAACTTTCACTCTATTTCTTTTCCATTTCTCTCTTATCAAATAACTTTTATTTCTACTCTATTTTTTTTACATTTTCTCACATTTCTCTTCTTCTTCTCTTTTTTTTTCTCTTCATTTATTTTTTCTTTAACCAAATACAATGTAATAAACACAAACCAATACATATGTTTAATATATATGTGAAAATACTTATTATATATATATATATATATATATAATACATATCCTATTGGTCCT